TATGTGCGAAAAAGAACTATCGATACAGCCTCTATTGTCACTATAGAGGATGGTTGTGGTAAATTATGGGTAATTATTGTTCCGACGAACCCAACTGATACCGAAAGGGATGAATGTCGCTATTTAACGACCATAAAAACGACGCTATTTGCTCCCTAAGTGATCAGGCTCCGGCAGGTTCAAGGGTCATAGGCCCAGGAAAAGGTTATCTCAAGAAAACCTAAAGAGATTTTTGATACTGATTTGACCACTGCTGAGGAAGACGAGCTATTGAGTCTACTAGATGAATTTAGTGACATTTTTGACTTAACGGTATTGCGAAAAAATCCCGATGCAATTCGGTGAAGCACAAGATTGATAAAGTGACAGTGCACCATCAAACAAAGGCCATACCGTGTGTCAGCCACTGAGAGGCGTGTGATTGCAGACGAAGTGCAACGAATGCTAAAAGAAGATGTGATACAACCATCAGATAGTCCATGGTCATCTCCAGTCGGGCTTGTGAAAAGAAAAATGGTGAATGGCATTTTGTGTCGATTACAGAAAGTTGACAAGGTAACTAAAAAGGACGTCTATCCGTAACCTCGCATCGATGATGCTTTGGACTGCCTGGCTGGTGCAAAACTTTTCTCTGTGATGGATCTAAAGTCAGGTTACTGGCAAATAGATGTTGATGATAAAGACAGAGAAAAGACAGCTTTTGTGACTCCAGATGGTCTCTATGAATTTAAAGTCATGCCGTTCGGATTATGCAATGCTCCAGCCACATTTCAACAGATGATGGACACGGTACTAAGAGGTCTCAAATGGAATATTTGTCTTTGCTACCTCGACGACATAATCGTGTACGCACCTAATTTCGAAGAACATCAAAAGCGTTTGAGGGAAATACTGAAATGTATCCAAAGAGCAGGATGACGCTAAATTCCAAGAAATGTTCATTCGGCAAAAAGAAACTGACTATCTGGGACACTTAGTCGATCAACATGGGATATACCGATCCACAAAAGGTAGAGGCTGTAGCAAAGTTCCCTATTCGAAAAATATCGCTGATGTCCGAAGTTTTAAGGGCTTGTGCTCCTACTACCGACGATTTATCTAAATTTCGCAGATATCGCAAAGCCCCTGCATGACTTGTTGAAGAAAGATGCAAAATTTTCTTGGAACGCGTTCAGATGAATCTTTCGCAACGCTCAAAAGGCTGCTGACCAGTGGCATGTTTTGGGACATTTTATTCCAGATGCAGAAACCAGGATACATTCTGACGCTAGCGGCTATGGTATCGGTGCAGTACTGTTCAGATCCAGGATGGCAATGAAAGACCAATAGTCTATGCATTCAGGTTCCTTACTGCAGCTGAAGGGAACTATTCCATCACCGAAAACGAATATCTTGCCGTCATCTGGGCAATTAGTAAATTCAGGCCGTATCTCTACGGAAATCCCTTCACGGTAGTCACCGATTACCACTCTTTATTTTAGCTGGCTAGTGTTAAGGATCCATTGCACGGTGGGCTCTCTTCCAGGAATACAACATAAATATCGTCTACAAGAACGGTCGCAAACGCTTCGATGCAGAATCACTATCAATGAAGCCTCTTATAGAACCAATAATTGAGAAAAAGGAAGATATCCCTTTCTTTGCAGCAATCGTAGATTACGGAAAAGAGCAGCAAAAGGACAAACGATTAAAATCCATCATTACAATTTTCAAGAAAGGTGACGCATATCAAAATTATCAAATAAGAAATGGTATACTGTGCAAAAGAATCTATGATCCTATGGGACATCAATGGGTCTTGGTGGTACCAAAGCATGTTCGTAGCGAGATTCTAAGAAGTCTTCATGCTTGATGGTTGATGCTCCAACCGCTGGCCATCTCGGATTTGCCAAAACATATTACCGAATAAGGAGGAAGTACTATTGGCTAGGGCTATATGGAAGCACACGGCGGTATGTATCACACTGCCGAGAATGCCAAAGACGGAATCACCGCCGCATTGTCCACCAGGACAACTTCATCCTATAAAACCTCCTGACACACCCGTTTACCAAATGGAATAGATCTACTTGGACTTCCTGTTACTCGAAATGGGAACCAGTGGATTATAGTTTTGCACAGATTACCTTACCAGATTTGCATTCACAAAGGCAATACGACAGCTGAGGGCACCGAAATTGCCAATTTTATAGTGAAAAATTGTACTGAAGCATGGTGCCCCCAAAGAAAATGATAAGTGACCGAGGAGGAATTTCCTATTCCATGTTGTTAAAGAAGTAATTCATCTACGCAAGAGTCTCATCTGCGACGACTGCTTACCACCCTCAGACCAATGGCTTAACTGAAGATTCAATAAACATGGCAGAGTGTCCATGTAGTAGCGTTTGAACAGAAAAATTGGGATACTATTCTACATTTGTAACCTATGCCTTAATTCAGCCAAACAAGACACAACGGGATTCAGCCCATTCTTTCTCATTATGGCAGAGATATCCAGACTCCTCTCGACGTAATTTTCCAACAAATATCGAAGATCCCGAATACAGTATCGAAGATAGTTATGTGCAACATCTGATCACTAGAGCTGAAGAAGCTAGACGCTTGCAAAACTCCATATTCTTTAAAGCGCAAAACCACAGACAGCGCCGATGAGAGAGACATGACCTGTCAGCTACAACATCAGAGACTTTGTCTGGGTCTTCACTCCAGTACGAAAGGTTTGTATCTGAAAAGCTCCTAAGACGTTACTTTGGACCGTATCGAATAACACGACAGCTCTCTGACGGACGACGAAGTAGAAGTATGGAACAAAATAAGAAACGACGGAATTCAAAAGACATCATTCACGTGTTGAGGTTGAAGCCCTATCTTGATCCGAAAGTACAACTAGATGATGAAAGAAAGCCCAATATTTCCAGGAGACCTGTTACAAGAAGCCAGACCAGATCGCAGCGGGACGCTGCTTCTTCCTAAGATGATGAAAAGAAGGGAGGAAATGTAGCGAAAATCGCTCTTTTCGACCGAGCTCCTCATAGCTTAGCGGAGAAGGCGCAGGACTCGAAACCTGAAAGTACCAGGTTCGAAACCCAGCAACAGCAAGATGCCTGATAATTGGCTTTTATGTAAATATCCTTGTTGTTAAGGTTAACTTATTTATGTAAATTTCCTTCTTATTCTTCATCATCATTCATTCAGCATGTTTACCAGCTGTATATAAGTAGCTCTTCATTCAGTTCTAGTGAATAAAAAGTCTCGAGTTTAGACTTGTACTTGCCTGTTCATTCCCTCATCTACGCGACAATATTATGAAAATTTCGAACTGCAAATAATATACCACATTTCTTCTTAATTTGAAAAGGCCATTCGAAATTAAGTACCAGAATCCTGTCTAGTTACTTCTTTATTTATACTTAGAGAAAATGTGTCTATTAATTATTCGATCATAATAACAAAGTATACAGAAATAAATTAATATACAAAATAATTACTTATAATAAATAGTTACAATTAATTCCACTTCCACTCCTGTTGAATTGGGATTGCAAAGGGAAAACCTTTCCTTCAGGGGGTCGCCTTTAAAAATTTTCAGTAAGAACTAAGAATACAAAGGAACTTTTCCTATTTTCTGCTGATCCTATGACTGAACTGAGGTAGGTCACGAAGTTACTATTCATAGTCGAATGATGGAATATTAACTTTTGCAAACACTGAATTTAACTGTTTCATGTGCTTCCAAGGGCCCCTTTTCTGCGTCTTATACGGAACTGCGTCTTATACGGAACTGCGTCACTGCACCATATAGGAAGAAGGCTCTCAAAAACTTAAAGAAGACGAATTCTATTATATTATAATAAGAATTCATAGTAGTACAAACTCTAAAAATAAAAATTAAAAGCGAAAGGGAAAAAAATACAAAAAAAATACTTTTAAGTTTAAACATGTAAATGTAGTTCAGCAGAACATTTAAGGGACCCCTAAACCTTCGGGCCCCTATGCGACAGCATTCCTTGCATACCCTTATTTACGCCACTGCACACCAAGATTCTACCGCCAGAACCAAATATATTAATAACGTTACTATATCAATTATCTTCACTTTAGCTCAATAAACAGTACTTTACATAACACCAGAAAAAGTAGTCATATGAGATAATATAGTTACAAAATAAATATAGTTAAAGGAGGAATACAAAAAAATAGCTATTTTTCTCAGTTGCACTCGATCCTGATTAAAAATTTTTAGGAAAAAAGCTTTCTTTTTTGCTACTTTTGCAGCCAACTTTTCTAATTTCGTTTGCGAGCTTGTCTCAATTTCTTTCAGCAGCTTTTATAGATCCATGATACTTTTTATTTTCTGCAGTGTTTTAATGCTTTTTTTTTTTTTTTTTTTTTTAGATTCAGCTCTCCTCTTTTCTATCTCTAGCTCTTCTTTGTACAGTTTTTATGAGCATTTCTTAAATTTTTTACATAGAGTTCGTGTATTGGAGGAATGCAAGTAGTTATCCGTAAGTCCGACAGATGGCGCCCAGCACCGATCGCTGAATTATTGAAGTCAGCCTCTCGTTTGACGGTGCTTGCTCTTCTTGATGGATATTCGTAAGCATCTAGTTCCGCCTTTCCACATAAGCCCCACCTACTTCGCCTTGATGTGAAACAACATATTTCGCGATCTCGGCTCAGGCAAACTCGAAAAGTTCGCAGCAGGGGGTGACCGCGTTTGATCGTTAACCCGGCGTAATATTATACGATAGCATGATGTAAAGTTTTTTTACAAAGAAAAGAGGAAGAGAGAGAGCACAGGGGCGTAGCTAGAGTTTCCAGCGCCCGGGGCAACTGAAGAATTTGCGCCCCTTTCTGTGTGCCAAGGATGGAAAACATTTCATTAAAAAATTTCGTAGCATCAATTTGGCGCCTCTTGGATGCTGCGCCCGGGGACAGATGTCCCCCCTTGCCCCACCCTAGCTACGCCACTGAGAGAGCATGTCCGCCATTTACCCCCCCCCCCCCCACACACACACATTTGCCGGTCGCGATTTCTCAACGGTTCTGCATCGATCTAAGAAACAACCCGGGTGACGTTCAAAAAAGCGAAATTCCTCACAATAAGGTATAAACAGAATGCCTTTTTGTTCAAAAATTTGCAAATTTGTAAGAGAAAAATTAACTATGTTAAATTTCCAAAAACAAAATTCCATTTGTTTACATTTAAAAATGAGCACAGATTACAGGCATTCATGGATTATCATAGTTCTTCTCTATATCTGTAGATAGTAATAGTTTTTGTGTCATTAGAGGGTTTTATCCAAGCCATGACGTTCCATTTTTGATCATGAATAGCTAAAAATGTTAATTATGCTGCAGAAATACATTATGCATAGCTGTGAAAGTTTGAAATCCTGAAAAAAGAATTATTTTGAATAAAAAATTGACATCAAGATAAAAAGAGAGAAAATTTTCCATTTCCAGAACTTTTGTATGGAAACAAGACTCATTCAACAAATAAATGAATAAACTGTTCATATATATTGAAAAACTATTTAATAAAACAATCAATAATTGTAAAACAAGTATTACTATATTTTAAATCTAATTAAAATAATACTTTTTATTAAAGTTTCTCCCTCATCAAAATTAGTGAATACCCACACTAGAACATACAAATTTTAAATATTGTGCTTTTTATTTCAACAAGGAAACATTAGTGAAAGACCAAAACATATAAAATACTAACATTTCCTGTTTTTATTACATCATTTTTTTATATCTCATTTTTGAAAATATATTTATTTTAATGAAACAGATTAAATCATTAACTTTAAGCTAAAGCAAAGAAGACAAAAAACAATTTTCCTTGTTGGCTACTATTTAAAAAATATAAATTAATCCAATTTTAAAATGCACTTCTTTTTATCAAAAGTTAATGCCATCAAAAACACAAAGACACACACACACACACAAAAAAAAAAAAAAAATCACGTGCGACATTACTACGTGAGTAATTAATACAATTATCATGTTTAACTCTTTGAAGACATAACGCCCCCAGACGGCTCTTCATTCAAACAACTGCAACTGCCCAAAATTGAGATGTTCTTTCTTCTTTCCTCTAAGCTATGCAGTACCAAATTTCCCAAATGCATTGTACCAGTTTAATTGCAGACAGCTTGCCCTAAAAGGATTTATTTGTGGTTTCTTATCTTTATTTGTTAGGCAGTAGAAGGGATGTGATTTACCTTTTTGTGCTTTAATGCAGGGGAAGGGGAGGAAACTACCGTGAATCCTCTAAAGGCATTTCTGGCACTTCGGTATTTCAAGCATACAGGTTAGCGAAGGCCTCAGTTTTCAAAGAGTTATCAGTTATTGATAAAAAATTGCTAATAAATTAAGTTGCCCCAGAGCTCACCATAGCCTAGGTCTGGTACTCCTAAATTTTTGAGATACATATCAATTCTAGCCCAAGTGTACTGCAGCTCTGAAATGAAAGGGCTCAGGTACTTCTAAACTAAAATTTCAGTGGAAAATCCTTTGAATTTAAAAAACCTTGTTTTAATAATATGTCTGACTTAAAAACCAACTTTAACTTCTGAATGCATGCCTATCTTTCTCTGCAAAACAAACACTTTGATGAAAACTGAAAGGACAAAACAGCCCCTACCCACATGTCAAAAGGCTTATTCTCCAAAAAGTACAATGAATTTATGAGAGTGGGTAAATTTTCGTTCTCAGTAGAACTAGAAGTGGAACTTTTTTGAAGGATGTAATTAAATATGGGAAATGAAAATTGTCACTTGTACAGAACTTTAATTTTTATCTCAGTTAACAGCCACAATTTGAGGAAAATTTTTTTATCCCCTTCATATTCTACTTGACAGATAGAGTTTTATTGCCAGTAAGCCTTGGCCAGAAAATGTTGGACTCTTCATTTTTACACCTACATATTTCCATTAAAATTTCTCATGGCTTTGCTTTTTCATTCAAAAATTTCTTCCCCCATACAACCCCCTCTCATTCTCTCCTCCTCGATATCCCTTCTCCCAAATCACTGTTAAATATTCTCCACCTCAACTGATGGGTTATCCCTCCAAAAGCATCGGCTTACCCCTGTTTGCTCTGTTCTTGATGAAAAATAAAAATGTTTCTTACTTCTTTACATAAAATATTCACTATAATAATATAGTGTGATTAACTGTATTTTATGCTGTATTGAACTCCATGTGCAATACTCTAAAATTTTAAGTTATTTGATAACTACCTACCTATTTAAAACATTTTTGGGACATTATGAGATAAATTAGAATTACACAATGCTTGCTTAATTTCTTTATAATAATTTTAAGCCTTTTACTACAATAATGAAAATTTTTAAAATGTTAAAGATGTAATTATCTATTGAGGCAAACATTCAAACAGATTCTGAAATTTAAGTAGTACCCTTAAAGAGAAAGGCCTCTTTGAACTGTTTCTTCTATGATGCAGCAAAATAATTTCAGTTTTAAAGCAATATATTGTTACAGTGGTTTTCATCAAGTGACTCATGAATTATGATTTAAATTTATTATATTACTAGGCATTTATTAAATAGATTTTTAATTTTAGCTCAAAAGGGAAGTATTTTTACATAAGCTACTAAAACTGTTGTGATGACTTATTAATAGTTATATCTAAGTTTCATCGAACCTTGTTCTAGATATAGCCTGCACAGACAAAGTTTTATTATACATATTTTAGGAATAAAGAAATAATATGATAATAATTAAGAAGATGAATATATATCTGATTTGATATTTAATTTAAAACAGAATTTTAATTAAAATATTACTATGATTGCAATGGCTATTTTTGAGAAAAATTAGGTTTTCATTAATTGTAGGGAACACGAAAACTATCAACCTAGCAGGAAAATTATCTTCATTGAATGCCTTTTACTGGAAACTGATTTGTCATCATGTTTATTCACAAGAAAAATCCAGAGTAATGAGCTTTTTTGGTTAAGAAGTTACTTTGCAGAAAGATATAAAATACTAACATATACATAAATTTTTCCAAAGCAAGATTACATTTAAGATATTATTGCTTTAAACTCGAGCAGATAAAAATAAATTTTCAGCTTCCTAATCCATTACTATGAGTTTTAAACATGATAATAGTATTCATCTACTAAAATTAATTTTTTCCACAAGTGTTCAAATTGCAATTTCCAAAAATGTTACATTGCACTGACCAAATAATTCGTTTCTCCCACCACCACCACAAAAAAAGATAGTAGACTCTCTTTTAATTAAAAGTGCCACTTTAAATATATATATATATATATATATTAAGTGTTTAATTGCAGGAAGTCTAATGGAAGTGTGAGGATGTTATTCAACAAATAAAACAAACAAAAGATTTAACAAACACATTATTTCATTTTATTTTTTATTTATTACATAGAAGCAGCAACCTAATATTGACAGGCAAACAACATTAGATGCTTTTGTCACAAAAAGGTAATTACAGAGAGCCAATGATTTTGATTTAATTTTCTCTTAGAATCATCTGTGCTTTTTCATTTATCTTTACAAACGCTTCTTTCATTTTTCTTTTGTTAGTTGCACATTACTGTTGTATTATTTATTTCGTTCTGTTTCTCTTTGCCACGATTGCCTTAATATTTTTTTTGAAACTAAATTTTAATTATTTTTGGTGAAATAAAATAAAATACACCAAACGCCACCCAAACATACTGATTGTTTACGCGTGACTGTCTACAAGATGACTTTGCCACTTGGCAAAATAAAATACAACAAACACTACCCGAACACAATGACTTACTATCAGATGGCCTTGCCACGCAACACAGGATTCTGCATGCACACAAAGCTTTGACATCACCAAAATTTTGCTGCTTTAACATGTAACTATGTGTATACCCTTTGTCCAATTAAAATTTGTGTGTTTGCTAATGTGCTTTTTCATCTATCTAATGATGTTTTTATATTGATTGTAACATTTGCAATTTCGAAGATATAAGCATTTACGCACACTTTAAATAGAGTCTTAATTTTTGCTTTCCTATCACCATTATGAAAGAATGTAAGGTACTTACGTATTAACGCAACCAGGCCAAAATTCGCATAAATCGCCAAATTTGGCGACCCTAAGTGTTATGCGTAGTTTTGTAAAAAGAATTTATTTGTAAAAAGAAAAATAACGCTGGGCGTGTACTACTACAGCAATGGGTTTTCGACGGAATTTGCCGGGGAAAGAAAGAGACTTTTTTGGTTACTGTACCTAACAGAAGCGCCGTTTACCCTCATGGAAAAAATTTGCGAAAATCAAGGAAGGAAGCATCATTTATTCGGATGCTGGAAAGGACACAATACAAGTGAATTCGAAAATGCTGGATTTCTGCATGGAACTGTTAATCACAAATATAACTTTGTGGATCCCAACACGGGCGTTCACACACAACATGTAGAGCGCATGTGGGGCTCAGCCAAATGGCACAACAAAAAACAGAGAGGAACAGCCCGTCATCATCTTGACTCATACCTTATCGAATTTATATAGCGCCAAGCTCAAGCTGTTAATGGCGAAGACGGTTTTCAATCAGTGCTAAAAGCAATAGCCAAATGATTTCCGCCGAAAAAATAATTCTGCAACTTATTCAAATTCGAAACCGGAAGGGTTTAATTGCTATTTTATGTTTTAAAACAAAATAATATAAAAAAACTGTATTAAAAATTATCTGTAATTAATAAATGTACATTTTCTTTCTATTCATACTTTTTTACTCAAACTTACAAATCGCGCCAACCTGGTTGCGATAATACGTAAGTACTGAATGTAATCCTACATTAAAAACTCATACAAACCATTCCCGAAATGTTACACTGCATTTTTGACATTAAAATGAGAGAAGATATAAATGGGGAAAAAATAATAATGCCCTATTATTACATAAAAATAAGCGTATGAAGCTTAATTTATGAAAAGGGTGATGCTATTGCACTTATTTAAGTATGGTATGGAGTAGATACCCTTGCTTTTGTTATTCCTTACCTAAAATTGTGTATACAGTAAGACCCCGCTTAACGCTGTTTCGGTTTAGCGCTCTTTTATTTCAACCCGGGAATTCCACGAAATCGCTCGCAGCATACGGGGATTCCACGAAATATTATGCAGCGATAGGTTTCAAATACATATCCGAAAGAGTGTACTTGTATTTCTTGTTTGGTGCGGTATTGTACAGACATATTTTGAAGAGGTAAATGTGGAAGATGTCGAAGAAATAATTCAAGAAGCAGGCTAGTCTTTCTAATGATGAGCTCAAGGAATTACTGAACAAGAAGAAAAAAAAAATGTTGACAGCAGTGATTCAGAAGAGAGCAAAAAGAACTTTCGATGGCGTTTGTAAAAGGAGTTTGTCTACCATAACTGAAATAAGGATCAATTCATTGAAAATGATCGAATTTGACAGGAGCTCAAAAGTAAGGCGTGGTGTTAGAGATGCTCTATCCGTTTATGAAGAACTTTTAAGAGAACAACGCAAAAAGAAAAGGCAAACAACATTAGATGCTTTTGTCACAAAAAGGCAAACACTGAAAATGCGGAAGGCTAACTAAATATGACTGACTTAGAATTTTAATTTTTTTTTTTTAAGAATATTCGTTTTGTTATTTATATTTTGTTTTTTTATTTTTGCAAGAAAATAATGTGGTTAATTTGGGCTTTAAGAAATAATGTTTGGTTTTATTTTTATTAAAAAACATACTTTTTAAATTTAATACCTAACCAATTTCCTAGCCATCTTCCCCTAACCCCAATATTTACATGTAAAGATAGCCTCGTTTAGTGCTGTTTCGCATTACGCTCTACTTTGATGGAACGTATCCCCCGCGTTAAGCGGGGTCTTACTATAATATGTAAATAAATACATATCTAAATTAAGATTAAAAAGTACAATATAAAAAATAGCTAAGGAAGATGTTTTAACACTCATTAATCAAAATTCATTAAAAATAATTTTTTCGTTATTACAGACATTAATAAAAGCTAGTGATATGAAAATGGTGGTAATAATTAAAGAGATAAGAAATGAAAGCATAGACAGAAATAAACTCCCATCTCACTCCCCCCCCCCAATCTGGCTGAGATTAGAAGGATAAAGGAGAAATTGGTGAAAGGATACTCATTTGTAGGTGACAAGGAGGAAGGCAGATTGGGCGAAATGTCATTTTGGATAGAAGAATGATGTAACCAAATTTCCTTAGAAACTCTAATACTGTTTCTATCATTCTTTCTATTATCATGAGTGGAGCTTTAACTGTTTTACCTTTTTTCATTGGTGTGCTGGGAAAAGAAAGATCTTTGTTTCTATCATGCCCTGAAGTAGTCTCACATTGTTAATTCATGGCTTAAATTTAGATGGAACTTTTTCTATGTCTTCTTATGTAATTATAATTGCAACCACAACCCTAAATAAAGATCAGCTGTAGAACTTTATTTTATTATTTTCAATTCACCATTCATTTATTAAATTTTTACTTATCTCTTTACATTGTATAAATTTTAAATTTTAACCATTTAATATTTCAATTATTAATTATTTTTACAGTTATTTTATTTATTTATCCCTCTTTCCTGACAGCCTTCCAAAGGCTTCTGGCACATCTAATTTCAGAAATGAAGCCCTGTACATGACTGTAAAACCTTCCAAGAATCGCTGTGAAGATGTTAATTAAATGAAACTTAATGATTTTAATTACATACCTTATCATCAACAACGTTCAATTCTTTTGATTCAGTACGGTCAACTTTCAGCACTCGAAACTTACTTTCTGTATTATTACAGCCCACTAAGTAATATCTCTGAAAAATAAAAAGTCTTAATTAATTTACGATAATAAATTCTTTCATTATGACAAATTTAGGACAACAGAACATCATCACAATATTCATATTAATTACATCCCGGCACTGAACTATATAACACTTTTTTTCTTAGTTATTAAGAATGATACTTTTCCATTTTGCACTTCCCATGCATGGCCAACCAGATGGAATAGTAGTTAGTGAATCTGATTCCGGTACTGAAGGGGCCAAGAATCCCGGAAAGGTATGGATGCGTATAAATGTATTGCCTCAGGCCACCTCGCAGAGTACTCTCCCTCAAAATTGGTGTAGAATTCCAATCTCCTTGACGTTCTGCCAACAAAATATGGACTCGAAAACAAATAAACCAACTTGGTATTTTTAAATACACCCAGAATGCGTGGTACAATAAAATACTGTAAATACACAAATAAATATATTAAATTTAACACATACACGTAGATGGTTTAGTCTCTGGATGGCGCTATCACTGGGTCACGACGCCGACGCAAGTAAAAGCAAGGCAGGTGCATAATGAAAAAGTACCCAAGTACATTTAAATCGTTTACCCCTTTTGTTTTATACAGTATGATCTTCTGAACGAGAGTGACAATTGGCTGAGCAACAGTCGATTTATTGGCCATAGCTAATTTATGCGATATGGAGGTATAAAACAAAAATTATATATGAAGAAATATACAATAATACAGAACTTGGGTCTTCATCATTAGGTTTAATCCTATTATCCGGTGCACAGGGGATTTGGCTACTTTTGGCGACTTTATGATGAGCAGTAAGGAAGCACTTCCGGAGAGAACCCGGTGAATGTAAACATTGCCAAATTTGGCGATAATAGTTAAAATCTGGTAACCCAGAGGATTCAACCTAATCGCTTGTTGCAGCCATTCATCTTGCGTCCATTTTGTTTCGTTATCACTGTGCCCCTTCGCATTTGCAGATTTCTGTTATTCTTCTTTTATTTATTACTTTTTTTCTTAATTTTTTAACAACGAATAGATAGAAATATTTTCGTAGATCCCGGTTCTCGGTTCGGGATGAAAGAAGAAAATAAAGCGGGAGGGGTGAATGCTAATTTGTAACACGGCTGTTCACGTTTGTGTCTTAATTATTAACAGCTGTACGCACGCAGAACCATGAGGTTCGAACGCTCAAATAATTCGTTTTCGTACTCCGCAAAAATGTGCATTTTAAATAATTAAGTAATGCTTTTATTTTTATTATTGTTTTGTCAACTAAAATTATGATAATAAATCAATTTTTATGGCGTAAAATTGTAACAATATTTTTAATGCTTTTCTACAATAACCTTTCAGAGGATGGCAGGGTGTGACATAAATAGATTATTAAATTTTAATAATAAATACTATTTATTACTGATTATCCGTGACAGAATAGTTTGATGTATTCCCATGGTCTCAAAATTAGCAACCACTGCTGGTGTAAGGAATATAGTTCAAATGACTCTTGAAAAGTAATGAAATGTGTAATGTTCAAGTTTTTTATTAACATGCTACTGAAGAAAATTTGATTACTGTTGAAGGTTATTAGTATTGTGAAATAAATTATGAAAGGATGGGTATTTGTTTCAATGTAAATTGCTTTAACCTGCATGCAAGTAACTTAAAAAAAATACTAAACTGTTAATCAGAGTTCATACACATTTCTGCACACAGAAATTAAGGACCATTAATGAAAAAAAAATTCAGGACCTATGAGTAAACGCGAACTGAATAAATTAATTAAAAATATTAGCGATGCCTGCATTTCACATTTGTAATACCATCCCTAAAAATAAAATAGATCCTAAGTAGTATGTATTATTACTAAACATGAATTAAATAATTATTAATAAGTTTGAAAATGCAAATAAACTTTAAGTAATTGATCAAGTAGCATTAAATATTTTACACTTATAATATTTGGGCATATTTGAAGAAGTGACATTTACATTTTACCAAACTTATGTAACTTTTTTTTTATGTCTCATAATGTCACATACTTGGTCAGGCTAGCGGTTTAGTAAGTAGCAGGTTGATTTTATGTCAAATGCATAGGTTAAATGAGAAGTATCATAATCAGCATAATTCATAATAAAAGTTAATAACTTAATAATTAATTCTGTTTAAATTTATACCAATTATTCCGTATATCACGTTTAACTGTTAGTTTTTACATCTACATGCTTATTATCTGTGAATTTTTACTACCATATGCTTAATATATTGTTTAGTCTGCTAACTAGAATTTACATGCACTAAAAATCACGTTTACGGCTCGCCTCAGCCTTTGCCTCAGCGTCGATGAAACGCGAGCTTGGCGAGTAAAAATGGAACGGCGCCAACGGGTTCTCTGCGGATGAAAACCCGAGCAGTAAAAACGGGACATATACGATGAGTAGTTACCAACTCCAACTTGCTTTATTTGCTGCGATTAACCTGCGAAATCGCAGGTTGTGTTCCGGCTATCGAACTTTGGCCCAAGGCCCAAGGCGTTTGACTTCCGGAGTACCTTTGCAACTTAATGCAATTACCTCCACAACTTCGATAAGGAAAACTGAGTTGAATAAGAAAAAGCATTGGCTAAAGGAAAAAGGAACAACCGTTAAGGGTTTACTATGAAAGAAATGAATAAGGGGGCGAATTCAAATCGAACGCTCTGATAAATTGCAAATGTTAGCTGCAAGGGCGTTCTGCTATCGCCTAAAATTAAGACTTTATGCTTGAATGATAGTCAATCCTGTGGTTTGTCTGGAGCTTTTTTAACTCATCAATTATGCCGGTGCGTGTAAACAAAATACAACCTGTTTTTGAGCTTAAGGCTCCTCTAAACCAGGCTGAATCACCAACTTTTCTCTCTTGGCGAGGGAGGGAACGCGCTACCAATTTTGGCGCGTTTATCGCACACGCTGGCTGAATGTCTGCTGTTTTTTTTTAAAGATTTATTTTATAGACGCGCGGCATTCAGCGCACATAAACTTTTCGGATAATTTAATTAATTCTCGAATAGTATATAGACGTTTTCACTTAAATAAAAATTTCGCGTATATTTTGTAAACATATTCAAAATAACTTATTCTTTAGATGTTTCAGTTTTCGTTAGCAGACTAAAATAAATAAGATATGAATAAAAACTTTCAATAGTGTCAAATGGGGAAATAGTTAAAGCGTAGAGTGTGCAAATAAATTTATCTTAATGACATTTTAACAAAAATTTCCATAAAAACACTGTAAATTCATACTAAAAAAATAACTTAAGAATATGTTGTCATTTTAGTCTGAGGTATATGGAAATAATTGTGCAAGACTCTGAAGAAACACTTTCTTTTAAATGTGTGAAATATTTCATAACATATATGGAAGAAGAAAGTACAGCATTCTGTGTTTTGGATGACTTTTCACCAAATGTAATATAAATACGAACTAGAAACCGTAATAAAAAGTCCTTCCTCTCCAATCAGATCACCTTTGTGTTGCATTGTATTTGTAATACTTCTAAAAATCCAATTTTTACCTAAATTAAAAAACAGTTATTCCATAAAAGATAATAAATTTGAACGTATATAGAATGAATTTTGTAATTTGAGTTATGTTACAAAATAATTCATAGTTTATATATTTTATACTAATAATTTAGATAAAACCTGTCCAATTTAAGAATGTGTGTTAACCACATTCTTAAATTGTAAAAGGACGACTTAACCACATGTAATTCATTTCAAAGCATAAAAGAAAGCTTATTTTTTATTTTACACAGCAACAGCATTTTCATGCAGTCAAGTTTTTTTAACTGCTAGTTATTATACATAATACTTAATTTTTAACACATTCTTATTAGAAAGCATAACTAAGAAACTTCTTTTTAAAGCCCCACAGTAATTGCAAAGAATGTCGTTAAATTTACAAAAGTATTGAAGATATATTGAACAGCATTATAACAAGAAACTACTGTACAAAATATGTAAATTTAACATAACTTCTTTTTTAGTATTTGCATAGTTTCCTCCAAATGAACCTTAATGGGAAGTTATCTTGCAAAAATTTAAAAGTATTAAAATGGCCTCTATTTAAGATGTAACTGCATTTATAATTATTTTGTAATTGTGAATAGATTATATTATTGCAATTAGATTATGCACTTACAACATAATTGCATAAAGTAATGAAATTAAGAGTTCACAGATACAATGTAATATAATTACAAAGCAATTATCTAAATTGTAATTATAATCACTTATTTAATACCACAATATTATTACAATCACAATGTAATTTAAATTGGGTACTATATTTGTATACCCTCCACTCAAAAGGAGGTACTGATAAGCCTGGAAGTTATTATCAACAAAAAGCCTGTTCAGGACAGTTTGATGACAATTTCCACCGGGCGAAAAGTACATTCTTAAGCCCAGGCAAATCATGACAATAAAAATCATTTAGTCTCATGATTCACTATATTTCAAACCCTAAATTTGAATTCTGCACCAAATTATTTACCTATATTTTAATATACTTTATGAATTATTAGAAGCGATATGGCAAATATCTTCTAAAAATAACTGTAAAATATTTGTATCCATTAATTGATTCAGATACACACTTTTATTATTTAAGTATATCAAAATAACAGTTTCATGTTCCTGAAATACAAAAATTATGAAAAAAGTTAAAAGTAATATTCTTAGAAGCATATGATATTAGTCACCAGCTGCAAAACAGTTAATTTTTTGCCCTAAATACAAGTTTATTACACAGTAGTCATACGTGTAACTTAATAACATGGTATATAAAAAATTAATGATAATAAGTTTATCAGAAATGAATTAATTCTGCAAATAAACTTTCTGCATTTGAAAATTTTCTACACCTGAGGGGAGGGAGAGATCTAGTAAAATTAGATTTATTATAACTTCAGTTGGACCAAATACCTTCTCTCTCTATATATATATGCATCACTAAAGAAATAAATAAAATTATCATGCTTAAAAAACAGATGTACCATACCAGTTTTTTTCCCCTTGTTACCCTTTACATTGAGAAATAACAAACAGTACAACGCTGAAAAATACTATCTTTGAAATTTTATTTAAATGAAGAAACACACACCATCTTTTTATTTAAGCATTACACTTCAAAAACAGATACACATACCAATTTATTTTCACTAGCCTTTATACTAATAACATGCCATATAAAAATGAAAAGAATTATCCTTGAAATTTAGATAAAATGAAGTAACACAATGGGAAAAATTTATGCACACGGACATCTTTTTTCTATTGCATGTTGTCTGACATGATCCACAAGTGCCTAAAAATGTACCCAAGGAAACACATTTCAATATTAACAAAAAATTGTTTACAGATTAAAATTCATTTCATTTCATACCAGTATTATAAAGATCATGCATGAAACAAATCTGCTTTCCCATACTTTTAAGTAAAACTGAACTGAAATTTTATACTGGAAAATATGCTATATTTCTATATATTAGAAACAAGAAAATAATACCATAATAATATACTCATAGCCTAGCAGAAAGTAACATATATAACATCAAACACAGAAATTTATATACTCGTAGCCTAGGAAAAAGTAATACATATTACATAAAACACATAAATTATTTAATATAAAACATACATACCTTCTAAAATTATTTTACTTTTTGTTTCTTATTGGCCGATGCTGATGAATATGAAACGTTATGGGCTCTTTTGTTGATAAGATGCTGTGTAAGGCCTTTGCATCTAGTAATAAAAAAATTATCAATAATTACTTTCTTAAGATTACAGCATTCTGGCATGGCCACATGCGTACATTTATCAATTATTCTTTCAACTAATTCTTTTGTGATGGCTGATTGTAAACGAAGGAGTACATCTTTACATTTTTGAAATTTCTCGTTCAGCTTCCCTACATATTTCGATACATTCCTGAAGAGATGACCTTCAGTCCACCTTTATTGCTATGTTTTGTAAGAATTGTGCGATGCTCGGGTATGTCAGGTTCCAGCATGTCCTCTG